ATAACTATAAAATCATCTTTCCTGAGAGTGTGCTTCTTTTCTTATACAGATATAACTTTTATCTCATTTAAAATATATTTTTAAAAATAAATCTTTATTGTTCATATTATTACAAATGTTCCTAATTTTTCCCCCCTCCATTGCTCCCCTCCACCAGGTTCCCACCCCACCTTCTCCCCTTTCCCCACCCCCCTATGTCCTCATCCATAGTTGCACAGTTTATGTTCAGTCTCTTCCCACACTCCCCCACTACCCTTTTCCCCGAGAATCGTCAGTCCACTCCCCTTCCATACCTCTAATTCTATTATATTCACCAGTTAATATTGTTCATCCGACTCTTTTAATTCTCTTGGTTTTTAGATTCACTTGTTGATAGTTATGTATTTGTTGTTCATAATTTTTATCTTTATTTTCTTTCTCTTCCGAAAGAACCCCCTTCAGCAATTCATATAATTCTGGTTTGGCGGTGAAAACTCCTTTAGCTTTTTTTTTTTTATTATTAGTGAAACTCTTTATCTGGCCTTCGATTCTGAGTAATAGCTTTGCTGGGTAGATTATATTTGGCTGTAGGTTCTTGCTGTTCATCACCTTGAATATTTCTTGCCATTCCCGTCTGGCCTGCATGGTTTCTGTTGAGAAATCAGCTGACAATCGTATGGGTGCTCCTTTATAGGTAATTACCTGCTTTGCTCTTGCTGCTTTTAATATTCTCTCTTTGTCTTTTGCTCTTGGAATTTTAATTATGATGTGTCATGGTGTAGTCCTCTTTGGATTCCTTTTGTTTGGGGTTCTGTGTGCTTCTTGGACTTGTAAGTCTAATTCTTTCACCAGGTGGGGGAAGTTTTCTGTCACTATTTCTTTCAGTTTGTTTTCAGTATCTTGCTCTCTCTCTTCTTTTGGGACCCCCATAATTCTGATGTTGGTTCGCTTGAAGTTGTCCCAGAGGTTTCTTACATTATCTTTACCTTTCTGGATTCTCTTGCCTTCTTGCTTCTGCGGAAGAGTGTCTTCTGGCTCTTTATGTTCCAAATCTTTGACTTGATTCTTGTGATCTTCCATTCTGTTGTTAGGACTCTGTATAATATTTTTTATTTCAGACAATGTATTCTTTATTTCTTGTTGATCCCTTTTCATATGAGGATATGTCTCATTTATTTTATTGGCCTTTTCTAGGAGATTCTTGAACAACCTTATAAGCATGGTTTTGAACTCTATATCCAGTCGCTTTTTGTCCTCCATTTCTTTCGTTTATGATCTGTTTCCTTGTCTTGGCATTTTCACAGCTTCTCTGAGTTGGTAGCCTTAAAAGTCTCTGTGTTCAGCTTGAATGGGGCAGAGTTTCAGGGTGGAGCCTACAGCCTTGGCTTCTGGCAGCCCCGCCCTATGAGGCTCCTGAGTCTGTGTTCCTCAGTGTCCCCCAGTACTTGCCACAAGCACCTCTGAAAGAAAAGTGCCCTCGAGTTTTGCCCACCACCAAACAGTCTAGGCTCTCCCCCAATGAGCCCGGAACTGGGGTTCAGTTCAGTTGGAAGTGGCGTTCAGAGCAGTCTGGAGCCCCTGTCTCCCTCCCGCCAGAGCAATCCAGCGGCACAGCCAACCGTCCATTCTCTGTGTGTGCCTCGTGGACCTCCTTTCGCTGCTCCCCCAGGTTTCTGCCTAGAACTGGGGCTCAGTGCAGTTGGAACTGGGGCCCAGCACAGTCCGGAGCCTTTGTCTCCTTCCTGCCAGGACAATCCAGCGGCACAATCAACAGTCCGTCCTCTGCGCGTAATGTGCACGAATCCGGGGCTCTGCCTTTCACCGCTCCCCTGAGATTTCGCCTCACAGCCCAGGCTCCCTCTGTATGAGCCTGGGTCCCCAGAACTGGGGTTCAGCACTGTTGGGTCTGGGATTCAGCACAGTCTGGAGCTTTTATCTCCTTCCAGCCAGGCACTCAGCCGTCCCCTCCTCTCCTACTCCATCCTCTCCGTGTGCTCAGCGTGTCTCGTATTTTAGCTTTTACAGCTTCTCTGCTTTTCCTTCTGGTTTTCTCTTTCCTTCTTGTTGTAGAATTTCCAGTCAGTCGACTTTCCTGTAGTTCTGGGTAATGTCCATTTTGTATTTTAGTTGTATTTTATTGAAATTGTTGTGTGAGGCTGTGGTGGGTGTTTACCTGTGCAGCCATCTTGGATCCTCTTTATATTCTCATTTAAAATATATTGTGGCTATTTACTTTCTTCTAATTTTCAGTTGAGTATATCATCAATAGTATCACATTGTGTGGCTGTGTTCTGTAAAGGGACTCATTAAAATGAATCTGAAAGGCCTATTGAGAAAAGCCATTCAGGGCAAATAAATTCAATAACATTTAATCTATATTTTTGTTTCTCCTTGCCAAGCTTGGATTAGGGCGTATTGTAAAAGTGATGGAATTTAGAAAGTGATTTTTTTTCCTTTTTGCCCATCATTAATTGAAATATTTCATTAATTGAATTAGTGACATTTTGCTGAGTCAGAATACAGTTGGACTTTGGTAAGTATAAATATATTCCATTTCAGCAGGCATGATAGCTATTTTTATTAATACAGGAGAACATTAGAATTATGGGAGATGAGTGGAATTATGGAAGAGATGAAAAGGAAAAATATTTTTGTTTTTTGACTTTTATTTTAGAATAATATAAAAATAACTTCTTTCTAGTTCTCCCTTTATTTATAATTTTCAGAAAGCTGCGAGTATTGGTATATAGTAGTGGTTACTGTTTTGCTTTTATATTCAGAGAAAATTTAAAAGCCTTATATACAAAATACACCTTCTTAGGTTGATATCAAGACATTTACAGAGAAACTCTCCATGTCCCCACTTATTGCCAGGGGAAATGGGATTCTTGTGATGTCACAAGAAAAGGGATTTTTTGAGACTCACCTGGGAGAACGAGTGGCATTTATTTGCATAGAATTAAATCCCTGAGTTTCTAAGGTCTCCCCTCTCCATCCTGCCATGGAAGAAGTCCAATCCTTAGCAGAGCTTGGATTAAAACCACTGCCCAAAGCAGGGGTCTTCAAACTACTGCCCGCGGGCCACATGCGGCCTGCAGAGGAGTCTGATCCGGCCCGCCAGGTTTTTTGGGCAGTGAGCGCAGCCGAGGTGTTACAGTAGGAATTAGTAGTTCATATAGTCCGGCCCTCCAGCTCTCTGAGGGACCGTGATCTGGCCCCCACTTAAAAAAGTTTGAGGACCCCTGGCCCAAAGTTTCCATTCCATGTTGGAGCACAGTCCAGTCCAGCATCAGGCTAGTTTAGCTTGTGTTCCCAGCTGCAGTCCATTAGTCCAGAGGGGGTGGTCCACATGGCAATGGGCCATGCAGCTTCTAGGAACATGGGCAAATGCAAGAAAGCAGGAGCAAAGCCAGAGGAATGAGAGAGCAGAGAGAATGAACTCCCTTGTCTGGGGATTTTAATCTAAGATTTTGCGTGCTTGCAGTGGCTCTGCCTCCTCAGCCAATGATTTTTGTTTTCAGGTTAGACTGACAGGCACTTTCCCTACATCACCTGACTTCACAGCCCATACACCACCTCCCCATGGTTGGACCCCTTCCCCCAATGATTTGCAAAGAATGGACCAGTGGTTCCCTGGGGAATGTAAGTTGCAGCTTCCTGGTGAAGCTGCCCATATGATCATGCTTACAATGTCTGGCCTCCCTTTTGCTCCTTTACTATTATTAATAATCAGCTAATTACAGTGGCAACAAAATAATCCTTTGTGGTTGTATTCTATGAATTTTATTAGTGGACATGTTTAATGAGTATAAACTTGAAGCTGATGTGGACAAATACTTAATGAAAATTGGGAATTTTCAGTGATGAAGATAAAGAAAGGAATTCGTTCGTTTAACATATTGAGAGCTTCCTAGATGCTATGACTTATGTATATTTTTACAGATCTTATTTTATGATTAAAGATTTCTTTGGAAGTTTAACTGATCAGAATCTGTATTTCTTTATGGAAATTATGGGGTATTAGATTTACAATTTAAAAATCTAGATAAAAAATGTATAGTACTTGAGAATGTTTATTAAGACAAAGTGCTGACTTTAACACAATTAAGGGTGGGTATACCACTGAAGATTAGATAGGAGGAAGTTGGAGACAGTTCAGAGTATTTATTTATATAGCAAGTAATTAATGAGTATTTATTCCGTGCTGGCTTATGATAGATGCTTGTGCTACGTGGTCAACAACAATGTATCAGTGGCTCTTATAATTTATATTCAAGTAGTAGAAATTGAAAACAGACAAATTAATTAGTTAAACTGCAGGTGGAAGTTTGTTGAAGAAAGTAAAAGGGATCTGTAATCTATATTAATAAAGGGAAAATATGCTAATTAGATCAGATAGACCTGACAAAGCCATGGTGGCAGAGGCAGTTAGGAGCGATCAGGCAGGCAGGCAGAGCAGTTGGTAGTGATCATGCTGGCAGGGGAGAGCAGTTAGGGGCGATCAGGCCAGCAGACAGAGGCAATTAGAGGTGATCAAGCAGGCAGGCAGGCAGAGGGGTTAGGGGAGATCAGGCAGTAAGGTAACAAGCAAACAATCTAAACTTATAAGACTTCTAAATTAGCTGTTAGTGCTCCATAGAGGTAGAATAAGCATGGAAAAAAATATTTCCCTTTCAGTTCATCAAGCAGTGGAGATTATTACATTTTTCAAAATTAATAGGTTATGCTTAATTTGATATGGGCTCAATCAGTAGATAGAAAACATGCATAACTTTTGATTACTGTGTTCAATACATATTATTATATCTGCTACCAGTTTACAATGCTGAAGTACTTAAAAATATCAATGGGTACATTCTTATTAAATTTCTAATAGCATCCATAAAGTGCTTATTTATACAAAATATATCTATTTATATTATTTCATTGAATCCTCACAATAACCTTGTGAGGCAGGTGTTATTTCTTTGTTCAAGGTTACATAACCATTGATACCAGAGCCAGGCCCCAGATCTAGGTCTCTGATCCCATGTGCTTCCATTCAGACTGTCTGCAAGTGAAGGCCATGCTCCTGGCCGCACATTCTGGCTCTTGAGTTTGGAGAAGTGGGTGACTGTACACAGGGTGAAGAGTAAGTGGTTTTTCTCTTTCCTTGCTGGATACTGATTGGTTTAAAACTGCTGGCAAAAGATGCATGATAATCCCTCCTCCTCATGTAAATAGTGGCCTCTCATCCAAGATTAGTAGCCTAGAATTCTAGACTAATAACTTGGCTGTATTCTAAAAAATGGCTGTGATACCCCATCATATTACATTATTTGGTCTTGGAGGAGTGGTAAAGTAAGAGTTTTAATTTAAAAAAAAATGTTTTTTTGATTTTTTACAGAGAGGAAGGGAGAGAGATAGGGAGCTAGAAACATCGATGAGAGAGAAACATCGACCAGCTGCCTCTTGCACACCCGCTACCGGGAATGTGCCCGCAACCTACGTACATGACCTTGACCGGAATGGAACCTGGGACCCCTCAGTCCGCAGAGGGACGCTCTACCACTGAGCCAAACCGGCTTCGGCAAGAGTTTTAATTTTTGAGGGAAGTTTTCTGGAAGGTGCTCAGTGTGCTGCCAAGCAACCATTAAGGATTATGGGTTTTGCAAGTTAAATTCATTTGAATCAGCTGTTGACAGTTTAAGAATCAGTGCTTGCAACTATTGAACCTATTATTGTAGGGTTTTGTACTTTAGAGCCTTTTACACCAAGAGGATTGTTTTCAGTGAAAAGGCATAGAAAAAGCTTAATTCTGAGACTATCACACTATACAGTAGTTCCAATATTGTTAATGCTCCGTAAGGGAGAACAATGGTAATTGGGACTGAGACCAGCATGCTCTTGGTGATTAGTAGTTATTAACAGTATTGTAAATCTTTCACACCCTAACTGGAAGCCAACTTACAAATGTCTAGATGGGAAGGTGCTTTTATTGAGGGTTATGCCACATGTATGGTTTAAGCTTACTGGGACTGAAGTTTCACGAAGGCTATGATATGGAGCTTAGGGTTTTGTGGACGAGAGACAGCGAGTGCATGTCATTTATCAACAGTTGAGCTTAAAAATCAGTGTTCTGCCTTGATTATTCACAGAGAAGAATGATGCTGCAAGTGCCAGGATCTCTCATATATTTTGAGAAATAGAGTTATTAGTCAAAGAATTTGAGACATCTTAAAAACTGATGATCAAGAAATGAAAATGTTGGAGGAGTGATGTTCCATTTTGCACAAAAAGAAATTCCAGAGAGAAGCAAGTCTTCAGCACCATTTCATCGTTGGGGAGGCTAGCCTGGGCTTCTTCACAGGGGTTCCAAGAGGGCAGGAGCAGAAGCTGTGGGGTATCCTGTGGGGAGGGTTTTGAACTCTCTCAAAGTCACTTCAACTCTAAACATATCACAAGGCCAGCTGAGATTTAAAAAAATATATATTTTTATTGATTTCAGAGAGGAAGAAAGAGGGAGAGAGAGATGGAAACATCCATGATGAGAGAGAATCATGGATTGGGTGCCTCCTGCAAGTACCCCACTGGGGATCGAGCCCACAACTCAGGCATGTGCCCTTGACCGGAACCCTTCAGTTCACAGGCTGATGCTCTATCCTCTGAGCCAGGCGTCTTCAAACTACGGCCCGCGGGCCACATGCGGCCCGCAGAGGAGTCTGATCCGGCCCGCCAGGTTTTTTGGGCAGTGAGCGCAGCCGAGGTGTTACAGTAGGAATTAGTAGTTCATATAGTCCGGCCCTCCAGCTCTCTGAGGGACCGTGATCTGGCCCCCACTTTAAAAAGTTTGAGGACCCCTGCCTGAGCCAAATCCACCAGGACCCAGCTGAGATTTAAGGGTGGGGGAAGCAGGTTCCTCCACCTGTGCATGGGATGAATAGGCTATGCAGGACTGTGGAGAATGATTGCAGTCATGTTTGCAAACAATCTCCTCTACGTGATGGGAAGAGCAGAGGACAGCTCGTAAAATAGGCCACTGATAAATTTAAAATGGAAATAGAAGAGTTGAATCATGAAAGCTGGGGAAGGAGACTCAGTCTGTTTTACAAAGTATACATGAATGTTTTGAAATAGAAACATATGAAGGATTCTTATATAATGGCTTTTTGATATAACTTCATAGGTGCAAAGCCAATGAATAGTCAATTTTGGGGGAAATGTTTGCAATACAGAGGACAAAGTTTGATATCTGTAATGACAAAGAATATTTAAAAATTTCTAGAAAGGGCCAACAACCCAAGAGAAAAATAAGAAAAAATATGAACCCGTAGTTCAGAGAAGAACAAATGCAGAAGACCAACAAATAAGACACTCAGACTCAGATGATGATATATCTGTTGCTGTTAGGGGGAAATAGTATACACATTACATGTTGCAATATGTGCTATAGTCTGTTGGGAAGCAATCCAGCAACAAATGTCAGAAATAATATCTGTCACTGAAACCGGTTTGGCTCAGTAGATAGAGCATCAGCCTGCGGACGGAAAGGTCCCTGGTTCGATTCCGGACAAGGGCATGTACCTGGGTTGCAGGCACATCCCCAGTAGGGGGTGTGCAAGAGGCAGCTGATCGATGATTCTCTCTCATCGATGTTTCTAACTCTCTATCCCTCTCCTTTCCTCTCTGTAAAAAATTAATAAAATATATTAAAAAAAAAGAAATAATATCTGTATCACCCAGGAATTCCATTCATTGTTCTCTTAAAGAAATCACCTGTATGTAAGGATATGTATTATAATGTTATGTTCTGCCATAATGTGTAGGGGGGAAATTGAGATAAAAAAATGTTTAACAGGAATGGTTGGCTGTATCACAGTGTATCCAAATGGTGGAATATTACACAACCATTTAGAAAGGAATTTAGGGCCCTATCAGTTGAACTGAAAATTTTTCATGAGCCATTATTGAACGAGAAAACTGAGTATGATATATTATACTATAGTAGTAGTTAGGAAAGAGCAATAGGAAAAAGTGTGCTTGTATGTGTCTTTACAATTAGGTGTACATGGAAATATATATGGAAGAAAATATACCAGGTAGTTAATATGGGTTACTGGGGGGAAGGTGAGGGGAGCAGGAAGTGGCTTTCAGAATGCTAAGGGTTGAGGAAAGTGAAGAGGGGAAATTAACAAAATTTAAAAAAAAATACACAAAGAGACACAATAAACACAGCCTGTATAATGACTTTTCTATATTTATATATACTTGTATAAGTTTGTGGGTATATGAGTGCAGCACACACATGCAAATGAAAATTTAAAAGTAAAGAATTCTTGTTGGCTCTGGGTTGTTTTATTCAATCATTTATAATTTCTGTAGCACTACTGAGGAACCTTGATCTAAAATTCTCAAAATGGTAATTGTATCATGGCTCCGTGTTGTAAGTAGCAGAAATCAAACCACAAAGTAGCATGAGCAAAAAGGGAGATTTGTTGGCCCACGGGAGCCTACACATGCAATTAGGTCCAGAAACCCATTCAGGGTCTGTCTTTGCCAGTCTGTTTCTCTGCAAATCAAATAGGAAGTGCTATGCATGTAAGGTAGTGAAAATCGTCATTTGTATAATAATAGTTTATGTTGATTTATGAAAATTATGATGGGTAGTTATCCTTTTGTATATTCTTGCTCCAGATGATTTGTGATAGGATTAAAATGAATAATAAGGAATACTAGCTTCATATATTTGATGTATTTTTCTAGTTAAAACAAATCTTTTGTATTTATGTTTTCCCATCTTTGAGATGGAATTGACATATAACCCTATGTAAGTTTAAGGTAATATTATGATTTGATACATGTGTATATTGCAAAATGATCACCACCATAAGATTAGATAAAACACTCATTATTACATATTTTAATTCTGAGGCAGTGTTCATAGGCAGATTCTTTCCTTTTGCCTGTGAGACATACTTTCAGCAGTTGTTTTTATCCTGGGGTGCTCCACACTTGCTTATCTTTAAGGATTTAATGTATTTTAACATTGATTTACTATAAAGTCTGAATATTTAGGTGATATATAAATGATTAACATTTCAATTTTGTGGGGAAAAAATTAAGAAGCTTACACATCACAGAGGAAAAAATAATAAGTTGGTCCAAATATCCATTGGCAAACTGGGCTACCTAATAGCTGAAGTATTTAGCCACACATTTTTTTTCAAACTTGTTGCTGGGGAAAATAACACTTGTGGAGAGCGGCTACAGTGTTTGGACAGGTTCAAGCCTGGGTCTAATGAGAGGGCACAATCCTCTCGTGGCAAAGCCACATGCAAGTCCCAGCACAATTATAGCCCAAGGCTATACTTGTAAGCTTGACCTTATGGTCCAAACTTGTAGCTCCAGTGGCTGAGTGATAGAGGCTGTGGGAGGTGCAGCAAGTAAACAAAGCTTGATCAGGTGCATGTAATTGAGTTTTATCGAAATCTTCAAGAATGTGGTAAACATCTGGACCACACCCTTACTTTGCCTCCTGGAATCTGGCTATGAAATGAAGACTCGGCTTATAGGCTGTGGCACTGTCTCTCCATCAGAGAGGGCAGTGTCCCACCATGACCCAGCTTTCTTCTCTTGTCTATCTTTTCTTAATCCTTCACCACCCCCTCTCAGGCTCACTGAACCTTGCTGAGCAGGCACAGCACAAACACTAGTACAGAACATTACACTGCCTGGTGGAGAAGCACACCATGAACATGCAGCACCACCAAGCCAGGAGCTGGAGCCTCTCGCCCCTAGGCAGTTCCATGCTCTTGGCCCACATACAGTCCCCTCAGAGGCATCTGCTACCTTGACTTTTGTGCTGATCACTTCCTGACTCTTCTTTTTAGTCTACCATTTAAACTTGCATGCTGACTACAGCTTAGTTTTGCCTGTTTTTATTTTTGTAGAAATGAAATATAGTATGTGCTTCTTTCACTCAACATCATCTTTGTTGTGCACAGTTAGGGAGCGAAGGTAGGATGGGAACAGGCTGGACTGCATGTCTTTCAGAGGACTAATAACAACTCTAATTGATCACAGCCCTATAACGTTATAGAGTGTAGGCTTTTATTTGCGTTTTTTGAGGGACTTTAGAGTCCTAACGAGATAGATGAAGTATTTGTTGAGAACTCTAGCCGTTGGTACCCCACCTCCCCAGGAAGGATGATCACCAGGTTGTTTTATGCATTCCAGGAAGAACACTGTGCTGGCTGCACTTCCAGTGATGCCACCAATGCTCATGGCTCCCTCCAGCTCTGCCCAGAAGTGCCTCTTGGAGGCGGGAATCAATGGAGTTTGTCAAGCTGATGCATGGGTTTGCTAGAATTGGCCTTAGAATTAAAGTAGGCCTCTTTTTTTTATTGTATATTTGAACACTTGGCATTTTTTTTTGTGTGTGTGTGCTACCAGGAAGCCTCCCCCCCCCTTATACTTTTTAATATATATGAACATTATGATTATTTAACACTATATATTAACATATTCAAAGGTCTGATAGAGTGTTCTGTGAAGAAGGAAAACTTTTTCACAGAAGCTTTTCAAGCTTTTCACTGTTTCAAGTAATAGTTCAGTATTGTCCAAGCAAATGATTTATATTTACTGGAATATAAACTGGAAATTGTGGCCGACCCAACATAAAACATTCCTGCCACTCTTCTCATGGTTGGAAGCTTGGCACAGGGAGTATTAATGTGCCCCCTGACAACACAGTGTATTCTCACATACTTTTTAAAATTCTCATTGTTCCAGTTTTGTTGAGATGTAGTTGACATAAGCACTATGTAAGTTTAAGGTGTGAAGCATAATGACTTTAGGAAGAAAGGAAGAAAATGTTTTTCCTTGTGATGAGAATTTGTAGGATTTACTCTCTTAGCAACTTGCAGATATGTCATACAGCAGTGTTAACTATAGGCATCAGGTTGTACATCACATCCCTAGTACTTATCTATATATATAAAAGGCTAATAAGCAGAGTGTCCCCTCTGGAGTTTGACCAGGAGAATGAGTTCAGTTTGCTCGCTATGACGTGCGCTGATCACCAGGGGCCGGTGTGGACCATGGTGGGCAATCAGTGGTGGTGGCAGGGTGCTGAGGGAGTGAAGGAAGGAGGAGACTGGGGGGTTAGGGGGAGCGGAAAACCACTTTGTGGTGGTGCATGGGTGGTGAGGGAAGACACAGCCAGCCAGGCCTAGGGACCATATCCAGGCACAAATTTTGTGCCCCCAGCCTCTAGTTTATCTTATAAGTGGAAGTTTGTACCTTTGACCACCTTCATCCAATTCCCTGTCCTTTCACCCCCTACTTATGATAACCACAAATCTAACCTTTAGATCTTTTTTTTTATTTTATTTATTTATTTTTTTTTATGTGTGAGTGTTTTATTTTTATTTATTTGTATGTATTTTTAGATTTCACATGCAAGATCATATATATGCCCAGCTGGCGTGGCTCAGTGGTTGAGCATCAACCTATGAACCTGGAGGTCACAGTTCAGTTCCTGGTAAGGGCACATGCCTAGGTTGTGGGCTTGATCCCCAGTTGGGGGCATGCAGGAGGCAGCTGATCAATGATTCTCTCTCATCATTGATGTTTCTATCTCCCTCTCCCTTTCTCTTTGAAATCAATAAAAAAGAAAAAAGATCACATTTATGTCTGTCTTATTTTATTTTAGCATAATGCCTTAAAAGTCTGTACATGTTGCAGAAAATGACAGGATTTCTCTTTTATGACTGAATAATATTCCATTGTGTGTATGTATGAGTGTGCATTATATACATCTGTATCCATTCATCCATCAATGGGCACTGAGGTGATTTCCATGTCTTGGCTATTGTAAGCAATGCTGCTGTGAACCCTGGAGTGAATGTATCTCTTTTGATACTGTGTTTTCATTTCCTTTGGATATATTCTCAGAGGTGGGATTGCTGTATTATGATAGTTCTATTTTTAATTTCTTTAGGAACTTCCATTAGTGGCTGCACCAATTTACAACCCCACCAATAGTGCACAAGGGTTCCCTTTTCTCCACACCTCACCAGCTTTTTTATCTCTTATATTTTTAATCATAGCTACTCTAATAGGCATGAGGTGATATCACATTATGGTTTTGATTTGCATTTTATGATTAGTGATGGTGAGAAACTTTTCATGTATGTGTTGACCATTCATAAATCTTCTTTGGAAAAATGTCTGTTCAGGACATTTGCCCATTTTAAAATGGAATTATTATTATTAGTAGAGGCCTGGTGCATGAAATTAGTGCATTCGGGAGCAGGGGTTCCTCAGCCTTGCCTGTTCCCTCTCAGAGTGTGGGAGCCCCCTGATTGATCTCCCCAAAGAAGTAGGCTCTGCCCACCCAGCTGGGGCTCCTTGATGGATTGCTCCAAAGAGGTAGGCTGGAGCCAAGGGACTCCATGCTGGGGGAACCCTGGCCTCACCACACAGAGGCAGAGCTGCTAGTACCCGCTTCCATGGCTCTGCATGGAACTGGGGCCGCCAGGACCCACCTCCAAGGTTCTGTGTGCACACAGCCCCACCCACCCATACACGCCCTCTGTGCACACAGCTTCCTGGTGATGGATTGTGATGGTGTGAGGACATCACAGCATGATGGTGTGAGGGCGTGATGACCATTTGCATTTTAGCTCTTTATTATATAGGATTATTGCTATTGAGTTGATGAATTCTTTATATATTTTGAATATTAACCCCTGATCAGGTATATGACTTACAAATATTTTTTTCCAATGCCGTAAGTTATTTTTTTTTATTTTGTTGGTCATTTCTTTGCTGTGCAGAAGCTTTTCAGTTTGATAGACTACCACTTGTTTACTTTTGGTTTTGTTGTTCATGCTTGAGGTGTCATATTAAAAAATTCATTGCAAGATCCAAGCCAAGAAGCATTTTTTTCTGTGTTTTCTCTTGGGAGTCTTACATTTAAGTCTTTAATCCATTTCAAGCTAATTTTTGTGAGTGGTGTAAGATAGGTTCTAATTTTATTACACAAAAGCCTTTAGTTGTGTTTCTCTGTATGTATACTCCGACTTTCTGTGCTTTTAGATGTAATTTTGCTTATTTATCCCCATTGAATATTTTGCTCTCTTTTTTTCTGATGTCATTATGTTTGTGTTTACATAGTTTTTTCTTTTCTTTTTTCACACAACTTCACACACAGCAGTCCTTTTGATGGCAATAGAGGCAATCACTGCTATTACTATCCATTTCATTGTGCCCGTGATTCAGAGGGTGCAAGGAGAATGTAGCAGGTTCAGTTTGGATGGGCCTTTGTCTGTGTGGCTACCAGGAAGACAGAATGAATGGGAGCTGTTCAGTAAGTAAACCACCTGCCCTGGACGAAGGGCCATTCTGATGGCAGCTAACACCCAGGGTGAAAGAGCACCTTCTCATCTCTGGCTGTCATCCAGGAGTTGTTGATCCCACAGGAGAATAAAAAGTCACTTGTTAGTACTGTGGGAAAGAATGTTTTGTGGTGATTTGGGCACATGTATTCTGAACAGGATCAGGATCAGAAATGAAGAAAATATCTAGGATACACAGATATCCTAGGAGTTATGCTTGTGTCTATATGTCCTTTTTGTGCGTAAGAGAGGATACATAGTAACTAGCTTAGGGTAGTGATTATGAAATTCATGCATTCGTACACACACACACACACACACACACACACACATACTAGAGGCCCAGTGCACGAAATTTGTGCATTGGTAGGGTCCTTCCTCCCTTCCCCGGCTGGCCCCAACCCCTGATCGAACTCCTGGTCCAGGGGACAATTTACATTCTATCCTTTTATTATATAGGACAGTAAACTTTATTAAAAAAAAATCCTACCTATATTTTTTTGGTTGATGTTAGGTTCTATTTATTGATTGACTTTCTTTTCCCATCAAGAATATCTTGCTACTAATATCCATTATATTATACATTCTTGTATTATATGCTCAATTAAAAAATTAAAGTCACGAGTAAAAAGAGAGATAATATGTATTCATATACCAATTATTCATGATTTTAGGAATTATCCAAGTTTAGTTACCAACTATCTCTCTCTTTTTTTTTAAAATGTTTTATTGATTTTTTACAGAGAGGAAGGGAGAGGGAGAGAGAGTTAGAAACATCGATGAGAGAGAAACATCAATCAGCTGCTTCCTGCACATCCCCAACTGGGAATGCGCCTGCAACCAAGGTACATGCCCTTGACCGAATCAAACCTGGGACCCTTGAGTCCGCAGGCTGACACTCTATCCATTGAGCCAAACCAGTTAGGGCCTCTTCTCTTTTTGTAAAATTTTTTTTGTTAATCCTCACCTGAAGATATTTTTTAAATTAATTTTAAGAGAGAGGGGAAGGGAATGGGGAGACAGTGAAGAAACATTGATGTAAGAGAGACACATCAATTGGTTGCCTTCCGCACATGCCTGATTGGGACCAGGGATTGAGCCCACATCAGAGGTACTTGCTCTTGACCAAAATCACACCCTTCAGTCTGCGGGCCGAAGCATTAACCATTGAGAAAACCGGCCAGGGCCTGCTTCTTCTCTTTTAGGGAACTTTAAATTCTAGCATAGTTGCTCTCAACTTCTCAGGACTGTTATGGCAGCCTTTTGCTATTATTGCTTGTGGGGAGGGGGATGTTCAGAAATTCAATACATTATTATATTTTCTAAGTAAAACATAATTTAAGACAAACCTACTACCAAATTCATATATATTAAAGCAAAATAAAATTTACTTGGGCATTTTTCATATAGCTTCTCCCTTCTATTAGTACTAATAATTAAGAACTAACTGTGCACATGAAATCAACCTTCAGCCATTTGTCCAAAGTCAGTAATAGCAACTATAGGCTGACAGTAAGGACAGTTGATATTTTGCTTTCTGCTCACTATAGAAAAAGAGTTTACATAAACTAAGGTGTGCAGGTGGGTACCTTGAGTGCTTCTTTGTAGCCATGCAGGTGTGATTCTTCATCTTTGCAGATATGGCTGTACATGGTTATCGTGTTTACTCGTGTTTCTTGAGAATTAGGCGTGGCCTATTTATAGTGCTTATGTCTGATGTCATGGCTTCACTCTTCCTTGAGTTCATGTGTATGAACAACTATGGCTTTTAAGACTAGAACTGAAATAGAGAGGTTTAAATTGAATAGTAAAATGGTGAAGGCTATAGCAGATTTCTTTTCACTGGGAAGGTGAGAGCAATCTTACTGTATTTAAATATGCTGTCATCTCTATCAGAGTACTTTCTGAAAACACATGTGAAGCATTTATCCTGAAGGTTTCTCTTCTTTTGTGTGTTCCTAAGTACTATTGAGGGTATTTAGACAACTGGTATTTACACCAAGGACATTTTGAATTAGTTTGTAGTGAATTGAATTTGATGACAAGTGTATCTATTTCCGATGTGTATCTATTTCTCATTATATTTTCGAAGAGGCCAGGATTTGTTATAGGTTCCAGAAAGAAAATCACTACCTAGTTATACTCACAGTGCTCTGGTGTGTATTTTACGCCACTAAGATTCTTAATTCCTTTTTTTTTTTTTTTTTTTTTTTTTTTTTTTTTTTTTTTTTTTTTTTTTAAACTTTGAATATGTTTTTATTGATTCAGAAAGGAAAGGAGAGGGAGAGAGAGATAGGAACATCAATGATGAGAATCACTGATTGGCTGCCTTCTTGGGGATCGAGCCCACAACCCAGGAATATACCCTGACCAGGAATAAAACCATGACCTCTTGGTTTATAGGTTGACACTCAACCACTGAGTCATGCTGGCCAGCCCTTAATTCCTTCTTTATGTTTATATTTGGGGATTAAAAACGCTGAGTACGGAGATAACACGTTTCTATCCTGGAGGCAGAAATGTGTGAAAAGATGAAAGGGTTTTAACCTTTTTAAGTTTATTGCTCCAAGAGAATCCTCTCTATATTAGAATCTCTTTTTTCCTTTGCAGACCCCTCATGTGGCCTTTTCAGATATGCATTTGAGACAGAGTTCTGTGTAGAGGCTGAAATGTCTGGAAGAATTCTTGTTTCTGTCACTACTTTTCCTGCCTTTTTGCAACTCTGCCTGATTTCAATGATGTGATATTTAGAGGGACACCTTCACCGAAGTCGTTCTCCAAAAAGACACATCTGGCCAAAGATTGTCTATATAATCCACAATGGCCAGTCAGCCACCAGAAGACGCTGCAGAGTCTCAGGTCTCCGACGAACTTGAGTGTAAGATCTGCTATAATCGATACAATCTGAAACAGAGGAAACCCAAAGTGCTGGAATGTTGTCACAGGGTTTGTGCCAAATGCCTCTACAAGATCATAGATTTTGGGGACTCCCCCCAAGGTGTCATCGTCTGTCCCTTCTGTAGGTTTGAGACATGCCTGCCAGATGATGAAGTTAGTAGCCTGCCCGATGACAACAACATCCTCATAAACTTGACTTGTGGGGGCAAAGGCAAGAAGTGCCTGCCAGAAAACGCCACCGAGCTGCTGCTGACCCCCAAGAGGCTGGCCTCTCTCGTCAGTCCTTCTCACACTTCCTCCAACTGCCTGGTTATAACCATCATGGAGGTGCAGAGAGAGAGCTCCCCATCTCTCAGCTCCACTCCTGTGGTAGAATTTTATAGGCCTACAAGTTTTGACCCTGTTACCACCGTGTCACACAACTGGACTGTGTGGAACTGTACCTCCCTGCTGTTTCAGACATCCATCCGGGTGTTGGTTTGGTTGCTAGGTTTGCTCTACTTCAGCTCCTTACCCTTAGGGATCTACCTGCTGGTCTCTAAGAAGGTCGCCCTTGGGATCATCTTTGTTAGCCTTGTCCCTTCGAGCCTGGTTATTCTGATGGTGTATGGTTTTTGCCAGTGTGTGTGTCATGAATTTCTAGACTGTACATTACCTTCTTAATTGATATGCAAACTAAGAAATTGGACACACATTGCTATGTTTCAAGTTAGGTAATTTATCACAGATTTTATATTCTCTATGTTTAGACATATTGGCCATATGTCTGTGGTCCATTTTTCCATCAAATGTTGACACAGTTGGTTTTCATGCGTGCTGAAAGTACAAATGTTTATTTCTATTTAGGTGTTAGCAGAGAAGCAAAAATATGTAAGCTAAGCCTTCATGGAGCTCTTTCCATGAGTCTTCCCAGAGAAAGGTCAGGATTTCACTCAGTCATTCTAGGTGGACCCTGAGGAGGTGGGTAGAAGTATTAGCCTGCAGTAGAATCTTCATGGAAAATTAGGAATGACCTGATTCCTCTTCTCATCATCGTTGATAATCTACCAGTGTACCGGTTAATAATGAAGATTTTGTAATCAAAGAAAACACGATAATTTCAAGAGAAATATCAAAAGTGCTTTATTCAAAGTAATGTCCATCACTAGCTACACATTTCCCCCATGTTTCAGGAAATTTGTGGACCCCGTCCCAACAGAACTTGTCTTGTTTTGAGGCAAACCATTTACTTTTCCACTTCTTTGTATGTTTTGAAGTGTTGCTCAGAAAGTGAGTGTGCCATCGACTGGAACAAGTGGTAATCTCAAGGAGCAAGGTCTGGTGAATATAGTGGGATGGGTTAATACTTCCCAGGCAAGATCTTTAATGTGTCTTTAATTGGTTTTTAAGTGTGTGCTGGTGCGTTATCATGAAGCAAAATTACTTTGCTGTGTTTCTGGCACATTCTGGTTGTTTCATGATCAAAGTGTGGTTCAAATTGATTATTTGTTGTTGGTAGTGATCAGTATTAACAGTTTCACCTGGTTTTAGAAGTTCATGATACACCACACTTTCCTGATCCCACCAAATGCAGAGCATTGTTTTCTTTCCAAAGCGATTTGGCCTTTTAGTTGATGCTGATGGTTGACCTGGATCAACCTATGCTTTTGGGCATTTGTGATTCTCAAAATAAGCCAATTTTTCATTGCCAGTCACAATTCGATGCAAAAAGGACTTTTTTCATGCCATTGAAGCAACATTTTACTAATGATTTTTCGGTTTTCCATTTGTCTTTTGTTCAGTTGATGTGGCACCCATTTTCTTTTCTTTGAAGTCTTCCCATTGCTAATAAATGATCAGAAATTGTTTGGTGAGCAACATTTAATCTTTCTGCAAGTTGTTTTTGAGTTTGACACACATCTTCATCCAATAATACTTGTAATTGTTGGTCTTCAAACTTTTCGGTTGATCTGGACGTTTTTTGTCTTTCACATCGAAATCATCACCTGTAAAGCATTTAAACCAGCATTCACAAGTATCTTGAAATGAAGCATGTTCACCACAAGCTTCCCGAAGTATTCAGCAGCACTTCTCTTCAAAATAAAGTAATAAATTAAAACTTCCTGCAAATGCTCTTTCTTTGGCATGAAATTTGACATCTTTAAGTGTAAAAATATCTATGATGTTAACACCTTCAGAAAATTTGACATATGAAGTTTTGAAGCTTGTTGTCAATGCAATAAACATACATATCAAATTGCATCTATATCAACATATGGGTAAGTCCATCTATTGAAAAAACTACATTATTAACTGGTACACCCGGTCTGATGCAGGGTGAACATGAGAGGAGAGCTGTTCCAAGACTTCCACTTGGAAAGGGAGCACTCCCCCATGGCTCTGTTGTTGGGGCTCCCCCTCTTTGTTCCTCCCCTCAGCTGTCTGTCTTAGAAGGAATGCTGCTCTGTGTGGGCTGCTGCTTGACTTGAGGTGCTTATTTCCTTTGCACGTGCTCCTTTGTCAAGAGGAAACTGAGCCGCATTCTCTTGTATAGTTTTAATTAAATATCTGTGTGCCACAATATACTAATGAAAATTAAAAACATTAAGCCATTTGCATGAAAGGAAACTTCATGACAGTATGGCCACTTATCTTCGAGACACAGCCTTTTCCCATTTTTATTTCCTCTCTCCTCTCCTCTCTGAAATTCTCACAGAGCAGTTATAGTTCATGAAAACCTTCATTTGCATCTTTCCTTAAAACGTTTCAGTTTAGTTTTTTTTCTTAAACCACACGGTTCACTTTGCCCCACCCCTTATTCCGAAAGGGTTTCATTTAAATTAGTTGCTATAAGTTATGAAGATTTTTTTTCCCCATTGTAAAGTCTATTGACTAATTTTACTTAATCCTATAACAATTTGGGGGTAAATTGTGACAGTGGAAACCCAGAAAGAATGAATGAGATGTTCTGGTTCACAGTGTGATGTGCTGAGACCCTAAACGTTTTGCTGTGCTCTACTGATTAGCCAAAGTGTGAGGCTTAGGTCTGTGTGCCAGGCTCTTGCCACAGGCTGGGCATAAAGACAAGTAAGAAGCAGACAAGGCTGGTGCCCTGCTGGAAACCACCCTTCCAGGGAGTAAAATGAAGGTTTTGGGGTCAGTTTTAGAACTGACTCAAGTTCTTACAAGATTTATTTCAAGTAAAATATAAGATATGCGATTTCAGTGAATGAACTTCTTTACACAATGAAGGGGAAGTTGAATGTACATATTTATGAAAAAAATTGTTCAGTGTATTTTACGTTTGAAGGAATAGAATGTCCACAGAAACTAGACAACAGGAAACTTTTTAGTCTCTAAAAACCATTACTGATGATTAACATTAAAATATTTATAACTCTTAGAAAGGGGCATTACTAAGACAACTTTAGCTTATTTGTGATGAAACATTTGTTGTGTAATATAATTACAGTGGACCAATTCCAAACCCCTGATTCAGGAAATATTGACTTATTTCTAGAATAGTAGTTTGATTTCAATGATATAACTATTAACCTTGAGAGTATGTATGCCCAAGGTAAGTATGACAGCAAAGTATATGTGGGATATGGTCCAATGAATTTCAGATCCAAGACACAGCTAAATACACGTATGACTTAATAAACTCTACTTTAGATAGCATTGTGAATGCAAATTCCAGAAGTCTATTTGTACTTAGAGTAAATACATGGTTAAGAGATGCTTTGTGGTATGGATTTATATATTTATAAAGTTTTTAAAAAATGTTCATTTTGTATGAACAAAAATGATGTTAAATTTGATAGTAGAAATGTGACATTAAATAGGTAAGTTGTATGATGAGATTTCTAGAAAGCTCTGGACATGGGTACTATTTGTTGCTTATTTATATGTCTGCAGTTTTAAACTGTATTCCTTTACACATTGTGATAGTCTTTTTTTTTAGTTGCTAGTAAGTTGAGTTGGTTGTAAAAAGTTTTTAAATGTATGATAACAAAAAATTCATTATGCTGTTGAATAAAAAAAGGAGAATGCTTCAATATTTTGTTCACTGTGATGTTTTGTTTGTCCATTAAATTGTTATTACTTCTCTGACTCTGGTTGAGATTTAATGATCGTTTTGTACCTCTGTTTATATTAGATAACTGTAAACATAAACTCCCAGAAGTTCTGATTCATAGTGCATATGCCTTTATCATATGCATGAAGATTTCAGAACCTCTGGCAAAGCAGATCTAACCCACCCACTTCTAAAAGGTCTTTATACTTAAAAAAACACGCATACAAAACAAAACAAAAAACAGGGGAGAAAAATTATGGAAGATGAAACAAAAATACTATCTTTATTTTTAAACACTCCCCCCCCCCCTCAAGTTTTAATTTGTTATCCAGATTTTCCCTAGGTGCTCAACAAAATAGAATCCATTTTGGTCAGGGAATCATCACTCACTCTGTGTGGTCTCGGCAAATTTTAAAAATTATCTGATATCTAAATATGCCACTTTCATGCAAAATAGAAATAATTTAGTAATATGCTTATGATAGTGAATTGGTACCATCTATTAATCATAAGTGAAATAAGAGTTATGGTTTCATTCATTTCCAAAATCTTTACTTAAACCAGCGAAGACTCAGATTAAGTGCTAGTTATGGCCTGAGTGTGAACTTGTGCTTATCCACTGAGAGATCCTCAAATGATGAGCATTTGCCTGGTTGTACACAGATACTAGGCCTCAAACACACCCCGAGTTTGAAGAAATTTCCTGGCATGTTGACCAGGTCGACAGGGACGCCACAGGACCTATATCAACAGGCAAGTTGTTAAATCAGTTATAACTATAATATGAGCTCTGTGACCACTAGGACACAGAAGAAGTATCATGGAAGTAAACTAAATTCTATGTGTTTCTGCATTTTATGGAAAACTAGTTCTATTTGCATACTCATCTTGCTGAAAAACAAATACTTTTCTTGATTCTTTTGAAAAACTTCAGAAACACTACATTTTATTCTAGAGTCTTCCTCAAAGCCGCAAGGTTAGGATCCCTGAGAAAGTTTCATCAATTGCTCTTTGAGCTTGAGTCTTAAATATTTTGCACATCTCTTTGCCTCAAACCCTTTATGAATGTTAACTCCTCTGTGAGAAACTCAAGGCTTGAAATGTTATTTTTTAGCTAGAGGCCCAGTGCAGGAATTTGTGCATGGATGGGGTCCGGTTCGTCCAGCCCCAATCAGTGCAGATCAGGGCTGGGCCTTTCAGAAGGAGGAGATGATGGGAGGTGGGCCAGCTGGCCTTCCCTTGATCAGGACCCAATCAGTGCTGGGCCGGCTGGGAGGAGGGTCCGTGGGCGATTAGCTGGCAGGCTCTGCCCCTGATTGGGGTTGGGGATGGGTCCACCTATGGGGAGAGGCTGTGGGTGGTGGGCCAGCTGACCCCAACCTCAAATGGGGTGAGGGGTGATGACTGGAGGCCAGTGGCCTGAGAGAGGGGCCATGGGTGGTTGGGGGCCATGGGTGGTTGGGCAACTTGCTCTGCCCCTGATTGGGGTGGGGGGTCAATCTGGAGTGGGATTAGGTGGGGGGAGGGGCTGTGGGCCCATCAGGGTGGTGGGGGCCCATCAGAGGCAGGGTCAGCCAGGGAGAGGGGATGCAGGAGGTTGGCCAGCCAACCCTTCCCTCTATTGGAGTGGGGAGTGTGATCAGGGGTGGGACATTCAGGGGGAGGGGATGCAGGAAGTTAGCCTGCCAGCCCTGCTGCCTATTGTGGTGAGGAGGGCAGATCAGGGGAGGGCCGGCTGGAGGGATGGACCGCAGGAGGTTGGCCTGCGGGCCCCACCCCCTGGTCAGGCCAGTTTGCTGGCCACAGTGGACATCATAGCAACCAGTCATCCATTGGTCTGGTCATTATGGATGCTGGCTTTTATATAATGATGCTAAATAAAGTCATTAGTCAGTAAATGAACACCTGTTTTGTTCTGTACTGAGCCAAAACCTCTCACATTCTTCCTCTCCACCATTTTTTTTTAATGCCAATTATGGAAGAACCCAGTGCTTTTCACTTCCATTGACCTCCACACCTCCTGCACGCACGCACACACACACACACACACACACACACACACACACACACACCTCCCAACTCTTCAAGTTTTATGAAACAGATTTACAAAAGAGAACTACATTAATCTTCCACCAGTTGATAATCATACGTTTAAGTACTATTTTAAACTATTTTTATGACCACTAACAACCACATTTTTTAGTTCTCATAGAATAATGGAGTCAGCTGCTTGCCTCAGAGGTAATTATTC